ATTTCAATTATAATTGCGGCATATGTTTTGAAAAATTTCTCTCCCAATTTAATTTTAATGAGATACACTTAGATTTATTAGGATAATGGTAGTGCCATGCGTTTATGACAAATGTGTAAAGACTATATAAATGGCTTTTATAAATCTTTGAATGGAAAATAATGTTTCTTGATATTATTTCCTACATCTTTCATAACGAATTTTAAACCAGAGTTTGTTTGTTTGTATTATTCAATTTCTGATAATTACAATAATGTGTTTGGGTTGTCAGTTGCATAGAAATACACAACTACTCGTTTCCACTGTCTTCTTCTGGTTTCTACCCTTACTTGAGACCTCCTCTAATAGATTGTGCTTTTGGAAACTTTTGCAAGAAACCCATCTATTTCAAAATGGATTCTCAATCTACTCTATGGCAACACCTCTGGAACTTCGTCATCATTACATCATTCGATCCTTGAAACCGTCTTGCAGAGGGTAAATTTTAGCAACACAACGAATCCAAGAACACTGTAATCAAGCAACTACATTAATGAATACAACTGCAGTACTTATTAACTTGCTGACTAATTTTCTATTTTGTAAATGTTAGTGGTTATGTTAAACACAAAGTAAGATTTCATGTTTATTGTTTCTGGAGCCAAAACAGACTTTCTTTTAAACACTACCGCTAGGAAGCTCTACACTGAAATGCAGAAATTCTATTTCAAATCGTTTAAAATTATAATGCGTTGAAAAGGAATGTTTCATCCCAGTTGCAGACTAGTCAGCAATGAACACTTAAACACTGATATAGCAGTATGACAAAGGTTACTTTCAGACTCATGAGTTACTATTTTTATTGATGGACGTGTTGCAGAAATAATAAACAACTAGTATACCAAAACTTACAAATAAGGTGTAAAACATGTGCCGTATATGAGGATTAATCGACTGTTCCGTTTCTTCTTTTACAGCCTCTATAAATTAAATTAATTATGAATTATGCAGTTAGTTGCACAAAAGGAATCTCTTGAAATTGTAAGCGTTATGACTGACGGAAGAAATGAATTATTAGCCTACCAGAAATATGACTGATCGCACTATTCTCTTTATTTTATAAAAAGTTTTGTCTTTAGCTTTCTCATATATTGTTGTATAGCTTAGCTGAATACCTTAGCATTGAACCCCTCCTTAAGGTTTATGGTACCAAAAAAATTTCCATGTTAAAAAAATCAATTAGCGGGCATAATTTCACAATGAATCCATAAAACTGGTTATTCCATCCCTGTGAATTAATTCCATTTAGACGATATAGTTCCAGTTTTGCTGCGCGAATGACTCAGAGTACATGAACAGTGTGCACTATTTTCGTTCTCTGTTGAATGAAGATTAAAGAATTTAATTATGTGACTAATCCGTGTGACAATTGGGTATATATTACGTTGTAGTTGCTTACAGAATCAGTCTAGTGGTCAGTTGGAGTTACAAGCAATGAGCGGCTCTAAAGAGCATTCTACTGATTCCTAAAATAACCAAGTAGGATTTCTTTGTGTAAAATGGAAAGGTATTTTCGTCATGCGATAAAGAAAGTTAGATGGTCATTTCAGAAGATCATTGGACAACTCCCGGAACCCTTCATCGGTGACCAATAGTGATCCTCGAATACCTTTTCAACTACAAAGTTTAGAATAATAAAACTTTATTGTATTTTACCTAATTGTAAGTACTGAAATCAACTAATAGTCATCTGTGCATGTTCTACTATCTTGGACTGTATAAATGCATGACGGAGGTGGAGTAACGTCTTCTCCTTACTTCAAAACACCAAACTGAAAGTGTAAGTCAGCTTACAACTTCCAAAATAAACAGCAATTTACAGTCTGCATCAAAAAGGCACAGCATAAACCTTCAATATTCATAATAATGTGAAATTATAAAAAACAAAAGACTTCTAAAGACATTTACAAGTGTATGACCTAAGAAAACTTACCTTCAAATTTCAACTTCTCAATTATGTGTTTTAAAAAAGCAACCCCTAACATCTGTTCAACGGTTTCATGTGAAACCTGTCAATACAATAAAATAATTACAGAAAGAATATCAGCTTTGGTAGAATAACATGGTTCCATCTATCTTAGGATTTCTCATCAGCTGCTCAAAATCTAAAACAGCTTTAATATGCTTATTTGCAAAAAAAATATTTACACACTTAAATAAGCTTGAAGGGAAATACACAAAAAATTTCTTTATATTTTGACTTTAAAATTGTTTCAGGTTTTAAGCACCTAATGATAAACCCTAAAATATAATGTAGTCATGCTATTATACCAAAAACACTTTTATTCTGGCACCAGTTAAAATTATTGGAAAATGAAAGACAGACAGAAGGTTTGTTCACCAGCAATGTCTACATTCATGACTGAATACTGAGAAATGCTGAAGATGTCTATCGCTAGAGAGAGATAGGGAGTTTTGATGAAAAATTCCTTATTTTCCTTTTTGATCTGATCTTATGGAGTTGGTTATGTAGATGGCATGAATTGCAGCCTATCTCAACGCATGCAAAACAGCATCTTACTTCACTGTCTAGAGGAGAATGTAGGTCAACTAGTTAGTTTCATGTTGTAACATTTTAGTCAACTTCAGTCATGCAGCTTACCCACACATTTGTTAATATAGGGGTAAAAATTGGGCACTGTGGTAGACTGTAATTCGGTTTTAGTGAGTTTAGTGGAAAATGTTTCGGACGTAATTTACTGTCCACATTCATATCATCTGATATATGATATGAATATGATTTAAATATTCTCATTATGATAATTAGAAGACAGAGTTTGAAGTGAATACTTATTTTCGGTAAATTCCCGTTAGGCTTTACATTTAGAAATTATTGAGCATAGTCATTTGATACCAACATGGTTAAATTAATTGCGGCATATGAATTAGAGGATAACAGTAAAGGCGATAATAACAAAACAAAATGTCGGGAAGTTTAAACATTCTCAGTAGTCAATCCTTGTAGGTGTGTAGGTGAATTGTATGTGTGCAGGGACTGAAGGAAATAAAATGATCATCGCATAGCGATTAGATAATAAAATTCTTGATTAATTGTGAAACTAATGACGAAAAATAAAAAGATAATGATAACAGTACAAACAGGCATAACATTTACATTTATTCTGGTGACTGGAAATGAAATTATTGTATCTAGGCTGAAGTTGAAGGTCGTGGGAGGGAGAGGGAACATCTGAATACATAAATTAGGTTTTAAAATTCTAATTGCAATGGCTTCTGTTTTGCTTAGCGATTGGAGGCGCACAAACTTACAGCATTGTAAATAATAGCATATGCTGAGGTTATGTCACTTTTACGTTCAATATCTACTAGACGGGCGAGTACTGAGCTTTTGATCGATTTCTCTGTTACTGTGCCTAACCACGCTATAGTGTTCAATGATGCGATGATGTGGCCAGTTTTGGAAGCCTATCCTTCAACTGCATTGAAATTATATATAGAGTAGCAAATTTCGAACACAGTGTGGCAGCAAAGGAGGCTTTTTTGTATTAGACTACTGAGTTTCAGGGTTTCTGCAGCTGCATCTTCTTTGAACGCTAAGGCTAGATACAATTATTTCTTCGACACCATTTGAAGGCGCTTTTCTCTAGTTGTTCTCATTGTTACGAATTTTATGAACGTTCCAGGATAGGTATCCTCGTATAAACAGATCTCTCTTATTCTTAGTTCATCGTTCAAAATGTCGGCTGTGCAAATCTTACTGGCTTGAAACATCCGTCTTTGGATTAAATTCCTTTTGTATGTAAGAGGTATAAATGATCGGAAATGTGTATACTGACCAACCCATGATATCTTACGATAAATACTGTGCTTGACTGCCATTTGTTGGTGTTAAAAGCTAAACATTTAGGAATGGCAAATATCCGTCTTTCTCTGTTTCACATGTAAACTCGATTTTTGGATGAACACGATTGAATGTGTCAAGAAGAATGCCAGGATTAGTATCATTTATGCACAGATTGGAAATTTCATCCGTGTATCTACAATAGAAAGACAGTTTATCCATCGTGTTAAGCGGTGGTTCACTTTCCAGTTTCGCCATGAACATGTCGGCTAGAAGAAGACCGAAAAGTGAACCCATCGCCACACCTTCTATCTGGCAGTAAATTTCTTTGTTAAACTGAAATTGTACATTGGTCGTACAACGAAGGAGCATCTCTCGTAGGGTTGCAAGTGGTATACCTACCTCCATCTTGTTGTCTAGCAGTAAACCATGCATAGAATTAATTGTTTCCAGAAAAGGAATATTGGTAAACAAGGAAGTAACATCTTTAGAAATCATTGTTTCCTTACATATGTTCTTATTTTCGACTTTTAAAATAAATTCAAAAGTGTTCTTAAAGCTACATTTAGTCACTTTATGCTGTAGTGAGTTCAGTACATCTGATTCTTTATGATACGGTGAATTGAACATACCTAAAACACGAGGCCCCGATAAGTTAAGTTTTTGGATTTTAGGGAGTCCATATATTCTTGATATGTTAGTACCTATTGTCATGAATATGGACAAAAAATTATGTCCGAAACGTTATCCAGTAAATAATACTGTTCCACTGTATGACATTTCCCTACGGTTTTCTTTTAGAATCCTATACAAAGTGAAATGGGACGAATGAAAATGAATACGAAGGCGTAGGCAACAATTAATGTCCAAGCTCTATGTACCGAAGAGGTCCATCCCTTCTCTTATTTTCGCCTGTTCAGAACCTTTCTTAGATTCCCTATATTGCTTTAGTATTCACTTTACTTTTATTGACTGTTAACTGTTGTTGTTTTCACTTTATAGGCCATTTTTCCAAAACCTTTGCGTGCCAGTTCCAATTTCTTATTAAAATTCTCGTAGTATTTCACTCAGATTATAGATTATAATAATAATAATTTTTTTTAACCTTCAAGTTATCAACTCCATCATTTCCGTATACACCTTATGACTACTCATTCTCTTTCTAACGCTAGAAATAACTCAATATTTCATCCAGGAGCATTCCGTTTTAATGACCTAGTATTGATCTATTTGTCAAACAGTAAGCTTACTTGTTTCTTTCCCATTACTACGAATACGACTATGCATCCACTGAAATAGTTTTATCGCAAATAAAATGTGAAATAGTGAGTCTCTTTTGTGAATCTAGATAGTGTAATTAGAATATGAAGTTTGTATGAACAGTCCATAGTGTAGTTGCACAATACACTTCGAACAATCTAATCACACATCCATTTATCAAGTCAATTTATATTAAACCTAAAAAAAAGGAGGGCGAGTATAACAATTAAGATAATAGAGGATAGAAATTCAGAAAGATGGGAACGAAGAGGAAGAATGACATAGTTGATACTAATCTTGGTAAGAAAACAAGTTTTATCAAGTCAGGTATAGTGTAAGAATAAATTGATTTGCATACATAAAGGTGATTTCAGTCTGTGTATGGCTATCGCTTCTGTGAACATCATTATGCTCTCATGACTGTTTCTGTATAAAACTTTCAGATCTGTTTGAATACTAATTATGTTACTCGTTTCTATTATATGTTTAGATAGAAATGAAGAGCAAACAATTTTGTTCTCAAATAAAACCTCAAACTTCACTCAATTACGAATAGCTAAATATATACAAAAATGTTAACCAACCGTGTAGATTAATTAATGATAAGTGTTTTCAAATAACAATGCGGATAATAATAACAATGAAAATAATGATAACGTTGACAGTGTTGACTAAAGTCGTTGTAGTTTGGATGATAATGATGATAAGGACGTAGAAAACAGCATGAAAATATATACACTCAGATAATCAAATCGGGTGAAAAGCTTGGAGAAATAACAGCTGCGCAATACTTAAGGACCAAGTAGGTGGATAATTAAAGTCTAAACAAAAATATGGTAAGTTAAAGAGGTGACGAATAAGAAAGAATAAATTTTAAGACTCAGTAATCAAGAGGTTTGTCTCCCACCTGTGCTTATCAGAGTCTCAGACTCTATCTGTTTTTGTAGCTATTTCGGTTAGTACATGTTCTGCCACACTGAACTGAATCGCTCTATTACTCCTTGAAATGAGAACATGTACCTAAATGCATCTAAAAAATAATCAAGTAAAACTTTGATAAGTGCATGCAGGAGACAACTTTCGTCATCTTTAGCTAGAAATATTGTAGAAACGGATCATACCGTTAATATTCAAACAGATCTCAAAGTTTTATACAGAAACAGCCACGGGAGTATAATGATGTTCACGGAAGCGGTAGCCATACGCAAATTGAAACCGTCTTTGTGTATACAAAACAATTTATTCTTACACTACACCTACCTTGATAAATTTTGTTTCCTTACCAAGATTAGGATCAACTATGTCACTCTTTCTCTTTGTTCTCATCTTCCTTGATTTTAATCCCGTATTATCTCAGTTGTTCTATTTGTTCGCCACTCCTTCAGTTTTATATAAAATGAAATGATAAGCGAATGGGTGATCAGAATGTACTGAGCAAATAAATCAAACATTGGTCAAGACAGAAAACCATCTTCACTGAAATACTTTGTACTGATCACAAAACAGTTAACCAGTTACAGACAAAGTCTAACTAGTAAAATTAACCAAACAGGAAGACCTTTGTTGACCAAATTAATGTTTGACTATTTCAGATAGCCGTAGTCTGGGTAGGTTTGTACTGATACTGGATGATGACTGAAGGTGAAATGAAAATTTTAGTCTTGTAGCTTAGTTGGTAGAGAACTGGGCCGGTAATCCAGAAGTCGCAAGATCGAATCCTGCCGCGGTTCAAATTTTTATTTCTTCTTCAATCATCACCCAATGCTAATCAGTTTAAAGTAAGCCAGTTACACAGCGAAAGAACTTACCGATGCTACTGTAAATATCATGAGAATAACAGGGTAGCTGTACTTAATGTAATATTTCCATACATGTGTCAGTTGACTGATTAATGCCTTACCTACAAATAAAAGGATGAAAAGGGAAGGATTTAATAGTCTGAATCTGCAAACCATCAAATAATGACAATAATCAGTTCCTTTCATACATGAGTATTTAAGGTAAATTCATTGGTTTAGCTTAATCATAATTATCACTGAATGTTATGAACAGAGTTGGTTTGAAATAAAGGCTCCAAATCTCATCATATCCAGCATCTTTGAACTTCAAGTGGGTCGAAAGAAACTAATAATATAGTCAAAGGATACAATTCAAGGTTATTTTTCCATTTAGATGATGTCGTAAGTACATGAAACTCTGTGTTTATAGAATCATTGAGATAAAATTCTTATATCAGCAATATATTATAAAGGATCTAAAAACCAACGTCTGTATTCTACAACACATTTTATTCAAAAAAATATTGGAGAAAAGTGCAACAAATTACAATAGCAAACTTGGACAAATTAGTGTTTCTTTAACCAGATGGTGCTAACTCATTTAACCATGAGACCTGACTGTTGTGGTCTCGATCCCTTGTGAGTTATGAGTAATACTGTCAAGGAACTGAGAGCTAGAACGAAACAGATGTTTATCACCTTCAAACTTTCTATGATCTCTAGGTGATGTCGATATGCCATGAGAACCACCCTTAAGTCAATAAATCTGAAAAAGCCCTCATCTGAACAACTGTTTTCAAACTCCTTAGGATTTTTCCTTTTAACACAAACAGAACGTGAAAAAGGATATCTAATTGTTGAGTTAGGATTAAAATACCTTCGCAGTTCTCTTTAGTAAATACCGAAGGATTTACTCGATACTGCAACAGGAAATTGGTGCCTTTGATAACCTCATGAAAATGCATAACCACTGGGAAAGTAGAAAAACGTTTACGATTGAAATTTTTAATTTTCTTCATGGTGACTTGTAAGATGGGACTATTCAGTCTGTTTTGGTTTATGAGCTCCTTGTACAAATGCCTGAAAGTTATCGGTAGTCCGATCCCAGTGAGTAATTCAAAGCATTAAACCACAACCTGGACGAAACCCACGTCCAACAGAGATAGAAAGTTACTTCATATATGAATTCCAATTAGTAGTGAATTGGATGGCAGCATATCAGTTCAGACGTTATTTAAATCTCATGTATATTTTCCTCTTTAAGAATTTGAGGAAAGGAAGGAAAAACGGTTGAGTAGGATAACATGGTAACAGTTTCTTTTGTAAGAACTTAGTCAATTGCTTACGGTATGGATAACATTTCATGTCAAGTAGCAGCAGAAAATTAGAATGCTTCAATTCATCAAAAAGAAGTCGAACGACAGCTACCGTGAACATGTAAGAACATAATTAAATGAGAAGTTAGTCGAATACAAGTGAAGATGATAAGACATTTAAAAATTATCTATGAACAAAAACAAACAGTTCAGTGAAGAAAATCCTTAACAAAAAATGTATATTCAAAAACTGTACAATCATATATCTTGGATATTTGCTTTTCACGATATGTAATTATAGGGACTTCTCTCTGAAAGTCGATACATTCTTTTCTCAGTAGCATAAAAATTTTGCAAAATATGTTTGAATAAATAAGAACATGTAAAGTATTTGTGAAATCAGTGTTATTTACACATCTAAGAGAAACATGATGGCAGTAGGTGATAATATTCTAATGAGACAAGTATGAAGTAATTTGGTATGATGTAAACGATAATCAAGAAGCGTAAATCAGAACGAAGACACAATAGCAACAGTAATAATAAAATGAAATGAAGTAAATTCGAAATAAGATTTAGTCGAATACATCTGAAGCAACTTGAAATAAGAGTAATCAATTTTCAAGACATTCAGACGCCTAATTAGTTGACCATGTATTACGACCATGGTTAACGAAAGAGACTTAACAAGTGGTTTTTTTTCATAGGTTTGGCTTCAAATTATGAATTCCCAAGACTTCTGTACTATGTAGCGAAAGTAAAAGTTTGTGGAGGTTTGGTTAGAGTTTGTAGGTAATACTGAGTGTTTTATTCGAAGTTGAATGTCCTGTATCGAACGCTCTTCAAAAATAGATGAGTTGATTAGTCTTCTTTGCTCCTTACTTAGTCGTACCGGGAAATGTTCTCGAATACTGTGAAAGATAGGCCTAGAAGGTCAGTCAACTCATATATTTTTGAAGTGCGTTCGATATAGGACATTCAACTTCGAATACCATACTCAATATTACCTACAAACTCTAATCAAACCTCCACAAACTTTTACTTTCGCTACATAGTACAGAAGTCTTGGGAATTCATAATTTGAAGCCAAACCTATGAAAAAAAACCACTTGTTAAGTCTCTTTCGTTAACCATGGTCGTAATACACGGTCAACTAATTAGGCGTCTGAATGTCTTGAAAATTGATTACTCTTATTTCAAGTTGCTTCAGATGTACTTGGCTTTATTTTAGAGGTAATACTTCCTTCTTTTGAATACGCAACTCGGAATGTTTGGTTCTGATTGCCGTCGCTTCTCCAGTTTGAAGGATCCTGAGCCGAGTACCTTTTGGCAGATTAATGAGAACGCCGTATGGAATGAAAAACAACTCATTCATATCCGTTACGATTATCGTAGCCCAATTAGGGATGCACAAATTCGTTAGCATCCTACCTCAGATAATCTAATTCCATACTGTAGATACTCCTTCTTCTCTGCAGTCTAAAATTTATTATTATTATTATTAGTCCCTTGGGTTCCTAGTGGAACATAGGGCTTCAGTAGCACGTCTCCATTCCACTCTGTTCTCTGAGATCTTTTGAACCTGGCTCCACGACAGCCCACAAGCTCTCATTTCCTCCTCTCACGATCTCCTCCATATCACCCTCGGACGTCCAGCTCATCGCTTCCCATGGGGATTCCACTCGAGGGCCTGACGCGTGATGTCCTCAGTCGGTCTTCTCAGTGTATGCCCAATCCATCTCTACTTCCTCCTGCATATTTGTTGGGAGATAGGTTCTTGGTTGGTTCGTTCTCAGAGCTCCTTGTTGCTTATTCTTTCTGGCAATCCATCTGATCTTCAGTAGCGAGCCAGCGTAAGCAATTGTTGATGAATGTCTGTAGTTTATTGGAAATCCCTTCGTGACGCGCCAAGTCTCTCAACCATACAGAAGCACTGACTTGACTGACTTGGTGTTGAAAACCGTATCTTGTTCCGCATGCTGAGTGCAGATCTCCACACTGGTTTCAGGCTAATGAACGCCTGTCTTGCTTTTCCGATTCTGACTTTGACATCCTCGTCCGTCCCCTGTAGTTGAAACAGTGCTTCCTAGATAAGTGAAGGAGGTTACTTCCTTCAAGTTTCTCCCGTTGACGGTGATTGGAGTTTGTTGTTGTTGTTGATGGTGGTGGTGCGGTATCTTCATCACTTCTGTCTTCTCTATATTCACCTGAAGTCCCGTCTTCGCTGCCTCTTCTATCAACTTGTTAGTTTTTGCCTGTAGATCTTCAAGTTTATGTGACATCACACACAAGTCATCGTTGGCGAAATCCAAGTCTTCTAGGTTCTTTTCCGCAGTCCAGCCAGTGTATCCCATTCTTCTCGCTCCTCACCGTTTGCTGCATGATGCAGTCTAAAATACTTTTGACGAATCCTCCCAGCCTATTTTATCCCTCCTGGTTTATTTCATCTAGTTGTCATAAATACCTTCCTTTTGTTTTATTGAACTATTATATAAGCCGTATAATCACCCAGATAGTCAGTTATTTTGAACTGAATCCCAGTAACAATCGACTGTATCATAAACGTATCACAAACACACGAATATTCTCAATTAACTTCCTCAACTGTATAATATTATTAACAAACTGATGAGCAAGCAGAATCTCTACATTGCTAACGTGCAATTCCTCTCTATGTACATATAACTGTAGAACCTGAGGAAGTTGTTCTCGGAAAGAATATTCTTTTTTCACTCATATGACTTTTGAATTGTACTGGAAACCCTAATGATTTGTGTTCTTACCTTTCTCAAATTCCGTAATTAATGTGATGGTCTTTTAGTGTTGGGAAACTGCAAGTAATGTTTTCCATGCATATAGCTGGAGCACGGATCAAGCAACTAATTACATCTTTTTGTAACGAACTAATTTTGTCCAGCCAACTACTCCGCTGACGTAGGATTTGGATTTTTCATATTGGGTGACACTTTTCAATACATGGGAATGCAGGCGTTGAGAAGACTTGAGGTAGCAAGAAATTTTACAGGAAGATAAAATTAATATCAGCCAGTCATTTCGCGTCACCAACTTCGTTAAGAAATCACTACGTCAATTCGTGGTAACTGGGAAAAATGAAGCAGAATATTACACATACATCTTGATAACCACTTTTACTACTTAGGCCCGCTTTTAGATGAACATTTTCCTATGCCACCTGCTCACAACCTTACAACCCAACAGAAATTTGGTAACTGAAGTTTACTAAATTCATGTACTTACTTTGTACACATTAATTAGCTAAACCTTTAAACCGTTGATTGTCATTCTTCAATGAAATCTACATGAATTAATTCTTGAATCCTCTCCACGATTTTTTTACCAAGTTCAGTATATAGAGTTGATCAACGTCTTGAAATCAGATTTGTAACGTAGCTGCTAGGCTGAGTGACGCTACGGTACTATGCACTGTATTTCAGAGGCAGTTGGGCATTCAAGTGCCTTGACAACCTTATGTATGCCTTACTTGTCAGTCCCATCAAGTACGCAGTTATGGTATTATCATCGGTATCAATCAGATGATATATTAGAGTATTTTACTTGCTGGTTAGACTATCTGAGTAGACCTCAGTTGATAAACTTAAGATGTAATATGGAATTGATCACCAAAGTTGGAAACGAAAGTGGATTAAGTCAATGACTCAAGACTGTTAAGCAATTCATCATCTTTTTTAGAATATCGTAATGCATTAAACAACCACGTGCACGTTCGTGCAGTAGGCTATAACGAACGCCTATCCATCAATGGCTAATAATCTTACCTCAGTAGATCAGACAGCGTTTGAACCCTTCAAAAGTGGTCGCTTAGACGAAGGGAAAATGACTCCGCCTGTTAGTAAACAAATTTATCCCTTAAGTGAACATGAATACATATAACTCCATGATGTACTGAAGAATTCGTCATCAAGTATATCGTTTTTCTTCAAGTTGGCATGTGTGATTTTGAAGTGCTATAACCTTCTTAAGGTGAAGTGACTTACCAGACAAATCTTCCAATGGTCTACGAAGAATCCGCATGGTATTACGTAACAATTTTTTCTAAGAAAGCAATTGAGAAACAAAAAAATAAAGATGCATTTTGTTTCCATTTTTCTCGACAAACAGACATGCTTGCAATACACGTAAATTCTACTGTATTATTTGATTATATGTCCATCAGTGCGATAGAAAATATACCTCTTTTGTTATGGATTGAACTTGAAGTCGACATTTATTCCTTTAAAGTTGTTTAAAGTTTGTCGACATGCATGAACTTCTTGAGTGACTCAAAGGCAACTCCAGCAACCCCTGAAGCAATTATCTAGGCTTATTCACCTTAGGTAGATAGATATTACATTCATCTTGGTGACCAACAGTGGAATCCAGAAGGCGCATTTTATCCTACTCAAGACTCATCAGCCGAATATACCTGCACTCCAATGAGTGATTTTGTTCCCACTGAGACACCAACTCGGTACTCACTGCTTCAAACGCCAAAACGTTACCTACCGGATGTGACAAGATACTGGGGCAGATAGTTTATATGATGTAGACAAAGCTGATTGGTTATTCCAGTAGTGGCTTTGGTGACCCTTAGAGTCATTTGAGTTGGGGTCCACAGTTCTTGACATACGTCTACCAATTATCTATGGAGAAACCAAATCCCGTTCCACATAAATTGGTCTGATAAATCTCATAATATCGTCAGCTGTTCAACATAACGACTGACTTATAACTTAGTATATAGAGTTGTATGCAATTACTTAGTTTCATTTTGAGTAGCACTAATAAACCATGTACTGAAGTAAGCACTTTGTTAGAAACTGATTGATTTCAAAGTAGTTTCCATTATGAATCGACATAAATCGAAGTAACACTGAACAGTTATTTCGCCTTAGTTAAGAACGTCTCAAAAAAATGTGTTAATGAAATCCTTTCAACCCGAATACTAAATAAGTTCTTTAATAGGAACCTGTGGTGATGTATAAGTCGGCTGTGTGGTCGATGGTAACCGAGGACACTGGATGATAACCTCACTGAATAGCGAGAACAATTAAATGTTAACCAGCTGGTTGAGTCATTACAGGACCTAGAGGTCTTAGAAACTGTCGTCAGTTAGATGATGACGGCTGGGCGGGTACATATTGCTGATTAGTTATAATCTAAGCCAAAAAGATGTTCAGTTCCCTTCAGGTTTTGATAACTTTCTGACTGACACTGACTTGTAAGGAAGATGTAAGACACTATTCATCACTACAAAACTGTGCCTGACAGAACACTGAAATAATCAGTTAAGTGATATCGATATTTAATGATAAATAGGACCATTTATACAAAGAAGCAAGAGATTCCCTGTAGTTAACACTGCTTCGATGCGTTTCTTGAAAGTGACCTCTGAATACACCCCATAGTTACCTCTTATTTTGTTAAATATTCTGTACGGTTTGAAATTTCAATTTTCAGGTAGCAAACAATTATCTTTTTGAAAATAATCAACTTTCCTTGATTTTTTTGTTCACTATTGATGTTAAATCTACATTTGCAGACAAACATTCCCACAAGATTGATGGTGTGACCACCGGAAATCACTAAGATCCTTTTTTAGTAGGGGTTTTTGTTACATTAAATGATGAGAGTTCGGTTGCAAATTCCATTACCAAAATCATTCTCTCCAGGGGATATATAGACAGCACGACAGTCATATGGGAACCGTCTGCAGATGCTTTATCGATCCTCACATTAGTGAACAGAGTTTGGATTAGTGTATTAATAACATGAGGGAATGAAAAAATTGACTGCTGGAGTGCAGGTACATCCACCTGACAAGTCCCAAATGAGAGGAAACCTACGTCCTGGATTCTATTGCTAGCCACTAAGGCGACATCAGCATAACCAGTAATCAAACGGTATCAAAGCATCCTTATAAGAGCCCATCTGACAACAGAAGACGGACAGTTCAACTTAGTACAGCAAAGGGAGAATACAAGTATAAGACAACAACTGATACCCACTGCAAAAAAGGTGAACAACATCACTCACTAGGGTGCAGGTACATCTACCTGATGGGTCCCAAGTAGAACGCGAAATGGCGTTGTGGATTCTACTACTAACTGCCAAGCAGAAATCAACAGGAAAAAATTGACTATCTACTCCCGCTAAACACTTATACCTCATTCAAAGGACGAGTCAATAGAACAACCTTCTTGAAGAAAATTTACATGGACAGAACACTACCTAAGACGACCATCGTTTGTTATCCACGTCAGTAGAAAGCAGAATTAGTCAAATGTCTGTTTAACATGATTCAATGTGTATGCAGAAGTAAGGAAAAACTATAAAACCCCACCAAGGCATTGTTCAACAACAAATACCCACTGAAATCTCTCAGTCACTATGAAAATACTCGTCAAAAAACACCTAGTGTCAAATAACTTGCAAAGTAAGAGGTGTAAACCACGCTATCGTTAAGGAGTGATCCACAAAATCTGATAACCGAACATATTACACGTCTAAGGTGACATTCATAGTGAAAACCAAACCACACATTGAACTAACCCTATAGAGTGACCAGTTTCATTCTGTGCTATCCTGAGTGCTCATCATCTTATGATTTGTCCACCAAGCAAACTGATATGCCACTGCGATGCACTTTGGCTAATGTCAGTTTGTTGGAGGTGACCAGCAGGAGGCTGTGGATCTAGGTTTATTGTCTGTGATCCCTCAGTTTCTCGGAGGTTGTACATACATCTTGCTGACGAGTCCCAGCTAAAACGAGACCTTCTTATGTCAGACACAGCTTCCTCTCTATTGTCTTCAACAAAGCAACAGAAAACTAAACTTATTTCCTGTTGTAAGTGGTCACAGTCTGTCAATAGCCAGGTTTTATTCAACTGCATTTATCGGTTAAATCAACTTATGCCAACAAATGCGTGAAGGTGATCAGTAAATCTATGCAAGTAAGCGCAGTCGAGAATATTTCAAAAGCATCAATAAATCAAACCGAATGATCTTATGAACCAAAGTGATATAAATTCACCCTCATCTACAGTTAAATATACCACTACGAAAGGTCACAAGGTTGATTTGTACACACCTTACTAACATGTGCGCTACTAAGAAGCACAGAACTCCTTAATGTTTGCATAAACAAGTTGTCGTCCTATTGAACCTTCTCCGACTATTCAGTTTTAGTACCAAAAGTTATTTACATGTCTTTCACTATTTGGGCTCTTAAATTAAAAAAGTTAGCTGCCTCCTTCGTCTTTGATTTTGATTTTCTGAACTCTTTATTCTCTGATTTGGCGGTTTTTAGGGATTTATCAACTTCAAGTTGGTATTCCTTAATTAGTGCTTATTGGTGACTAGCTTTGAGAGGTAATTCCTGAAGTTCTAATGACAAGTAGTGACAAATGGGACCAGCCAAGTCGAACATGAGGACAGTTACTCAACTGTGGTATCCGATGGAGGTGCGCTATATCCTAAACTGACGGTAGTAGAAAATTGGACCGCTGTGTTCCGAATCAGTGGTTCAAGGGTAACGTGCTGACCCCAAAGCTGAGGCTACTGGGTTCCATCGCTGTTGGGGTTATGGACACGCACTGCTGCTTCGCCTCATACTAGGACGAAACGCCTACCCAGTACTCCCACGTTTCTAGTGTCCCTTCAAACGGCATCAGTCCATGATGGATACCAACCTTCATAAGCCGTCTTCTTTCCTATGAATATACATGATAGATGTCTGTGAGGTTAGATTGTATGGAATATGTTACTCAAATGCACCAAATGGTTAGGCCAAATGATCCCTTTTTAATTTTAAAAAAGATTATTTGTGACTCATTCCTCAAGAAACAGAATGTTTACATGTTGAAAAATATTATGTGTTGGTGCTGGGTACACAACTCCATCCGGCAAATAGTCTGACTGCTTACTGTATTGTGCAGTATTCTGTACCTGTTTGTCTTGAATAATATCCGTACTCATTATATTGTTTTATAACACTCAGCTAATTGGAATAATGATTAAATTATGCTTCTTTCCTGATAAATGGTGCTGGTCACAGTGAGGGATACTAACTGTTAGAAATTATTACCTACGAAGGAAGCTTCATTTTTCTTTGATTGTTCAACCCACTTAGTCAGTTATCAGTTATATTACATCTAATCTCATTCAAAATACTAGTTATTGTAAAGTAAATTCAATTGATAGATTGTAGGAAGTGATGGTACCGTTACAAAGAAGGCTTGATCAGGTAGTTTTCACCAACAGAACTATTGAATTTCTCCCTCCTACGGTGGCTGACAAATGGCCTTGAGGTGGCCAATCAGGTTGAAGCTGATTGTTCAGTTATTTTAGAAGTCTTTGAATTATTGAAATGATGTCGCTGGCTATAGATAGTTTGATGCATAGTTTTGGAGACGACGTTTTTGTCCAGCACTGTACACTAATTTCCAGCGGTTTTTTGTATGCCTGCAAGTCCTATAGAAGAGAAAATTATAGACAAGCTCCTGATGCAGAATGCTTCACTGTTAGGTTTTGCAGCCTCAATCAAATCACAACACTTATTTTAACTCCCACTACCTTACTGGCTTACTTTTCAACTTTTACACTTTAGGATTTATAGACCTTTATTTCATCGACTATGGTCTTTAATAAATTTTCAAACTTTAATTCTTAAATAATTCTACAGAGGTTGAAACAAACAACTTAAAGGCTACTTAGGGCCTCTTAGCTAAAAACTTACTTAACTTACTAAATATCGTTTGGAAGTCATGTATACACTAGTTTCCTTTCGTCTTTGAATTAAAAACCAGAAGATAACTGTTTCCTTATTAGTGCATTCTAGGCCACTCGGTAGTCCTTCAAATACTGTAGCAAAAATTCTATCTTTCCACTTTCCACTCTTGAGGTCATTGGCGCATAACACTGATGAGCCTAATATCAGAACGATGATTTTGACTGGTTTTTTGACTGATCCAAATATGCGGTGCAAAGTAGAATTTGTTATCAATGCTATTTTTTTCTGACGTCATCATAGAACTACATAGTACAGTTGTATTCCACTTGATGAAAGCCCGTACAAAAATAATTCATTATCGAAGGATTTTTAGAAGAAATCTAGTTCACCTGACAGATCACGAAGAAAACTCAACAATACTGCCTAAATGATCAACTAGGGTAGGTAAAGTGAAGTTAAAACTTATGAATAAACAGTTGAGAAGTGATTGTCTTGCCTATTAATTCTCAGTTTTATAGTCTACTAAACGTGAAATATACCAAGAAATATGATCTCAGTTGATTTACAGTTAAATGGTATCTCTTCAGGAGGGTGAATGTGAAGACTGGTGGCTAAATATGATAGACAGGAAGCCCTTAGTCACTGATAACCGTCAGTAAAAACATTCATTTCATGACAATTTTGATCTTTTCAGTAGCTCGTATCATCCAAAGCGATGCAAGTCAAGATGAGAAATTTAAACCATTGATAAGCGACAAAGAAACTGACACACTGACATTAAAACCTAACTGCGATTAATTTGAGTGTTTACGTTGATTTAGAGTCCCTAAATAGCGCCTTCTGAAGTTATTAATGACGATCCCATTCACTAAACAACAGATTCTCTAGCATCATACGCATAACTGATGTCTTGGATTACCCAGTATACTGTGAGTGACAGTGAATTTTGAGTAGAACTCCCACAGATACTCTTGAGGTATGGTGCCAACCAACTTCAGCTAGTCAATTAAAGGTTTATGCTGAACTTTGGGAAAAGATTACACTACAAATCAATGTTAACTGAACACTAATCGGAATCCTCGTTATTATAAATCTAATTCTGTTTTCTGAGTAGAATTTAGGCTTCTTAGAAGTCATAGAGTTGAAACTGTAGAACTTACTTCACAGTATGCGATAATATGAGACATTTCAACTCCGGAGGTTGTTAGTTGTCTGCAATAAAATGTGAAGAAATAAATTCCATGTGATCATGAGAGTAGTAAATAGTTAACTTTTTCGAAAATACACCTTGCAGGAATGGTCATTTGAACCTTTCTTAGGTCGTTTTAGATTAACAGTATGATAATGTTGAAGTGACTCAGTGAATAATAAAAAGGATGAGAATGATATTAAGGTAATGAAGCACTTGGATTGGATAAGAATAAGGACTGTTCTTTTTCAGAAGCTGATACTTCACTGAGCCGCGAAAGTCAGAAGAGAAAGATCGATCTGCGACTGTAGATAAGACACTATTCGATAAAAACACGTCATTTATGTACAGTATTCATGAACATGTAGTTATTATTATTATTAGTCCCTTGGGTTCCTAGTGGAACATAGGGCTTCAGTAGCACGCCTCCAGTGACCTCTGTTCTCTGAGATCTTTTGAACTTGGTTCCATGACAGCCCAGAAGCTCTCATTTCCTCCTCGCACGACCCCCTCCATGTCACCCTCGGACGTCCAACTCGTCGCTTCCCATCGGGGTTCCACTCGAGGGCCTCACGCGTGATGTCCTCAGTCGGCCTTCTCAGTGCATGGCCAATCCATCTCCACTTCTTCCTGCATATTTGTTGCGTGATAGGTTCTTGGTTGGTTCGTTCCCAGAGTTCCTTGTTGCTTATTCTTTCTGGCAATCCATCTGATCTTCAGTAGCGAGCCAGCGTAAGCAATTGTTGATGAATGTCTGTAGTTTATTGGAAATCCCTTTCGTGACGCGCCAAGTCTCTGAGCCATACAGAAGCACTGACTTGACTGACTTGGTGTTGAAAATCCGTATCTTGTTCCGCATGCTGAGTGCAGAAGATCTCCACATTGGTTTCAGGCTAATGAACGCCTGTCTTGTTTTTCCGATTCTGACTTTGACATCCTCGTCCGTCCCGCCTGTAGTTGAAACAGTGCTTCCTAGATAAGTGAAGGAGGTTACTTCCTTCAAGTTTCTCCCGTTGACGGTGATTGGAGTTTGTTGTTGTTGTTGATGGTGGTGGTGCGGTATCTTCATCACTTCTGTCTTCTCTATATTCACCTGAAGTCCCGTCTTCGCTGCCTCTTCTATCAACTTGTTAGTTTTTGCCTGTAGATCTTCAAGTTTATGTGACATCACACACAAGTCATCGTTGGCGAAATCCAAGTCTTCTAGGTTCTTTTCCGCAGTCCAGCCAGCGTATCCCCCTCTTCTCGCTGCCTACTGTTTGCTGCATGATCCAGTCCACCACAATCAGGAATATCATGGGGGATAGTAGGCAACCTTGTTTACACTCCTGTCTTCACTTCAGTGGCATCACTGAGCTTCCCATTGTGAATTACTTGGCATGTGGCATCTTCATATAGTTGTTGAATGAGGCGGATAAAGGTTTGTGGTACTCCGTAGTAATGAAGCAGTTTCCAAATTACTTCTCGGTCGACGCTGTCAAAGGCCTTCTCGAAGTCGATGAAGTTGAGGCAGAGAGCTGATTGCCATTCTATGCTCTGTTCTATGATGATGCGAAGCATTGCAATTTGGTCTGCACATGATTTGTACTTCCTGAAGCCTGCCTGTTCCGGTCGTAGTTTGGAATCCAGTGCATCTTTAAGCCTCTCTAGGATGATGCGGCTTAATATTTTGCTTGCATTGGGTGGACAGGAGAGTGATTCCGCGCCAGTTCTTGCAAACACCGAGGTCTCCCTTCTTCGGCAGTTTGACAAGGTAACCCTTCTTCCAATCGTCAGGTACCTTCTCTTCCTTCCACACCTTCTGCAATAGTGGTGTGGTGTGAGCATGTCCGCTGTTGCCTCTGCATCTGTTCTCAGTGCTTCTGGCGGTATTCCATCTGGTCCTGCTGCTTTCCGGCATTTCAGTAGCTTTATGGCGTTCAGGACTTCCATTTTCGTTGGGGGATTAATGTTCACTTGTAATTCAGCGGCTGCAGGTGGTATTTCTGGACGGAGTGCAGGTGGTGGTCGATTCAAGAGCTTCTTGAAGTGGTCGGCCCATCGTTTCCTCTGTTTCTCTTCTTTTGTAATTAAATTTCCGACATAATTTTTTATTGGTTTCATCTGCGTTGGTCTCTCCCTCCCAGATAGTAACCTGGTTATTTGATACAATGTTATCAGGTCTCTCTTACCTGCAGCCTGTTCTGCTTCACTTGCCAGTGTTTCGTAGAAGTGTCTTTTGTCTTTGCGTGTACTCTTCTTCACTTCTTTATCCAGTGCTTTATACATTGTGCTCAGTTCCTCTTGTCGTTGAGCATCCTTGCACTGGTTTATCTTCTGCTTCACCATCCTTCTCTCCTCTATCAGCTTCCAGGTATCCGTCGAGATCCATTCCTTATCTTCTTTCTTCTTCCTTCCTAATACTGTTGTGCAGGTTTCTTTCCACATCTCTTTCAAAGACTTCCAGTGTTCTTCCAGACAGGTTTCTTCAGGGATGTTGCTCGATATCCCCATTTTGTCTTGATGGCTGCCTTGAAGATCTCCTTTGTAGTTTCATCCTTCAGTTTCCGAGTGTTGTACTTGAATTGAGGTCTATCACCAGCTTCCTTGAAGGCTTTTAACTTGATTTGGAAGGTTCCTTGCACTCGATAGCGAGTGGTGTGAACCTACATCTGCTCCTCTTCTTGACCTTGTGTTAAGTAGACTGCGTCTCCATTTTCTTGAGATTAAGATAAAGTCGATTTGATTTTTAGTGTGTCCATCTGGTGAAATCCATGTCGCTTTGTGGATATCTTTGTGCCTGAACACACTGCCTCACTGCAATCACCAAATCGTTGAATGCGCAGAATTCTGCAAACAATTCTCCATTCTCATTCATTTCACCTAGCGCCTCTCGACCCATGGTTAGTTCTCTTCCTGTGTTGTCCCCTCCCAGTTTGGCATTCATGTCACCCTGCCCATTAGAATTTTGATATCGCCAACTGACGTCTTGTCCAGTGTTGATTGAAGTTGTCTGTAGAAATCCTCCTTTTTCTCTTGCTCTGCATTATTTGTAGGTGCATAGCGTAGCATTGTATGATTGTGACCTTTCTTCCTTTTAAGTTGAATCTTGCTGTCATGATCCTGGAGGAGATTGGGTCCCACTGCATGAGAGAGAGCCTTCGATGCTGTTGGGGACATCATGATGGTCACTCCATAACTCAGTGTGCTTGTGGCTGTCGTCTGGGTGACCGGAGTAGATTATTGATTCTCCAGTTGACAGTTTGGAGAGTCCACTCCCATTCCATCTGCTTTCGCAAATCCCAAGCAATTCGATGTTATACCTTCTCATCTCCTTTGCAATCTGGGCTGCCTTACTGGGTTCAAACATCGTGCGGACATTCCATGTCCCCACGTTTACTTTCGCTTTCATCGAGAGAAGACACATCGGCCAATTGGCTTCCCGAAGGCTTTCACCAACTGGCGTCATTTCGCCTCTCCGATTCCAGCGGGGAATAAGTTTGTTTTCATTTTTTATATTTTGTTTGTGCTTTGAAGTTTCTTTAGCGGTTAGATTTGTTTTACGGGGTAGGGTTGCTAGCCCTATGCCCAACCTTCCCTCTTTACCCGGGCTTAGGACCGGCTAGTAACTAGTAAAATAGTTAACCAGGCGAGGTTATGAACATGTAGTAACACTAGGTCAAAAGTTAAATGCTTATTTTGATTGGTCAACTGTAGGACGAATTGTCCAATAAAGTTTTTCCTGACCACATGGCAACATGAAACGAAAATTAAAATCCAAAACGTCTACCTTAGCGGCTGATGACTCAAAATGGTAATTTCCACTTAGACTGATTCCTATCAAATGTAGATTTTTGTTAATGACTAGATTATCTTCATTACATTCTGCGTAAAAGACGGCTTCTTTCAATTACTACTTGGCTAAATTCTTAGCTTGCAGTGAATATTTATGCTGATATTTATAGAGGACAAATAACATCTGTGAAATGTGTTTAGGAATGGAAGCTGAATCTTTTATTATAAGCAAGCCTTAGTTAAGGATTCAGCAGATGTTCTTAAATGGCATTTACTAAGAGTAGAAGAAATCTGGCTTAAAACTGGCATTGATAAAACAACCCAGAAAATTGTCCTAACCAGTGAAGAATGGTTAGAGCATTGAGGCCAAATGTCGATTCTGTATTGAAGAAAGGTGAGTTTACCAAACTTTCATGCATATGGTAACATCTTGTTTTGATCTTTAAGCAAAGAATTAAAGCAGTCGTCAGAAGGTTTGATCGCGCAACTAAAGTCAAGATGAAAGTGAAAGCCAAGTCACTATATGTACTCATCTTAACCTTTAAAATATATGAATCATCGGCTGACAGCTACATAAGTGCACATATCCACATATACACACAGAATGAACGGATCATTCTAACGTACATAAAGACCATATGAGAGATCACGACAATATCACTTAGTTCATTTGGAATTGATTTGGCTCATAAACCAACAAATTCATTTCAAACCATAGTATGCTGAATAAAGAAGGCAACAGCCAAATGAAGATAAAACAAATATCATTTATAAAATTAACTGCAACAACTGAGATCATCACTACGTTGGACAGAGTGGTTGCCCTCTTTGCCTCCTCTTACATGGAGATCAGTTGGCTATTAAGCGTCACGACATTTCGTCACTCATATCATTGCACTTGGACAGCCACGAATGTAAATTCAACTTCGAAAATGTAGCGATGCTCGACAAAAGAAACATAAAGAATGTGAGAGAATTTCTAGAAGTTTGGTATTCAGGTCAGTCAGTAATCAATAGATGTATAGACATAGACCTAACATATCAGCCTGTTATGATTTGGACGACTGCTATACGCTATGGTCGCTAACGATGTACAGGTATCGACTATCAGCCACCAACATTCAAGAAATTCCTAGTTGGTTCCCGACCCGACTAACTAGTGCAGAAGACACGATGGACGTGTAAAAACGTGTATTAGGGTCGAAAGACCGAAGACCGAACAAAGGAAATGCAGCTGATATGTAAGTAGTCCCCTGTTTTGAATGATAACATTGGTTACTGATCTAGCATGTCTGTTTAACCGTAGACGTGAAAACATAAAGTATATTTTGATTGATCGCTCTCCAGGCTAGGCTTTTCTCTTTATCTCCATATCAAGATCATTAACAATGTTTTATGCAAAACTAGGGCCTCACAAAACAACCAATAGGAATGATCATAAAAACTGCAAGGTTAGGCAGAGAAATGGCAACCAATTCGACAACAATCAAAGAAAACTGCAAATCACAGCAAGCTACTGAATTACTCATGAAGAAATGCAGATAGTTCAATCAACTTTAGCGCTTATGATATTGACTAGAAAGACAATGAATCGTTCACAATTAAGTCGCTAATCTGAGAGTTCTCAACCCAACCAAGAACATACAGCTTAAGCATATGAGCCAAACTCTCTAAAGATGTCAGTAATAGATTCAATCACCTAACTTCATCCTTTCAGGGGAGAGATGTCTGAATGCCTCAGTCTCTAAACACTCCTAACGGGAGTCAAAGACTGGCGTTCATATATTATTTACATCTACTTCCAAAACTTACTTGACCAAAACCCTTAAATTTGTCGCAGTTCCAGCTATTAAAAAATATTAAAGCATCTGCATGAGTTCAAAAGTATTTTATTATCAAATTTAATTCCTCTCAACAGTCGAACCTGACAACCAAGATGAGTGACTTCAATATTTTGTCGTTATTTCTGATTTATCTTGAATCACCAACCGTTATGAATGCATTGGTGAATTGTATCTCACAGATTTATCCCCTTGAGAGTTTTTCAACTGATAAAATGGTCAATAAATGACATACAAATACTCGGCTACTTATGCATCAGAAATCAGCCTTTGTATTTTGAGAGCGCTCTAAAATGTCATTATCATTGATTCGTGTTAAACTGTACAGTCAAGCAATTACACGTATAGTCATATGATTTTCCCGAAAATTCCGAGTAAACAGGTTGATTCAGTTTTGAAGTTCCTAGGGATTTATTGATTTCAGGGTAGTATTCATCACCCACTAACATCAACTTGAGAACCACTAAAAACGGTGAAGCATTGAACAGCTGTTTAATCCCAATAAGGGACTCCTCAGCAGTGCACGCCATGATCCCGCTGGGAACTAAACCCAGGATATACAGGTCCCGCGAAGACCACGTTACCATTGAGCCACTGGATCAGAATTCAGTGGTCCATATTCTCCTACCTCCGTCAGTTCACTAAATAACGCAAACTTGAGCCAGTGCCGATATGGTCGATAGTGAATGCTTCGGTGATTTCTAGCTTGTTGAGAGATCTGCGAATCAGAAATTATGCCTTCCAAAAAATTTAATCTCCTAAATCATTTCGTTTTCATTTTATGACGTCTAGATTGTGAATCATCTTCAGCATAAATATTTATGAGAAGCGCGTCTACTTACATGATCAAACTGTAAAAAGTATCTTGAGCAAACACAGAAAAGGTTTCAAACAAATTATATCTTCTTGTTTTCGGAATCTATTTTAATGAAGTCGACTAACTGTCAGAAGTTATGACAAACCATGAATGCAGAAACATGATATGATGATGACTTCAGTGATGAATAGTGGCTAGCTATGGAGTGCAGTACGCACGTTTCGCCCTGTTCGGGGCTTGTCAGTCGCATGCACCTCCCTCTCAGTGGGTGATTTGTCTCCCACTGGGGCTCGAACCCAGGATCAGTCGCTTCAGATGCCAAATTGTTATGCACTAGGCCACTGGGTCACGGTTACCACACCTGGTGTAATGGGTCTAGTTTGATCTTCGGTGGTGTAACTTGTGCACCTCCGTCTCTGGTTGGACCAAACTGATTGAGCTATATTGCCGATATTTTCTTAAATTTGAAATTAATGATGGATAATGGCTGGAAGTAGAATCCAGGATGAGCATTTCGCCCCTTTTGGAGGAATCGTCAGCTGAATGTACCTGCCTCTTAATAACAGGCTCTGGGTTGGGATCCAACAATCAAAACTTTCTTACTTCTGCCAAATCATGACATAGCGTGGCCACTATTCAGTTCATAGTTCTCTACCAATTGAGCTATGAGAAAATGCTGCTAGCCACATCTTAATTTCACTGCAGCCACCGAAAGTTTTACCTGTGAGTTATGATAATGTATGATAAGTAATCAGATATTCATCCTCATCACATTAGCTGATAAATGTCTAGAACTGTCTAGAACTTCCATACCTCTGAGAATATTTAGTATATTTTCATCTCTAATGAGATCAAGGGATATTTTCATCAATGTCCTATATATTTTAACTATATATATATATATGTTTCAATACAGCTTTAGTAAAACACTACCTTAGATTTGTCATTGATGCTTTTATATCTGGATCAGATTTGCAAAGGATAACATTGATAATTGTATTTTGAATCCTGTAAAAGATTAAAAATATAAAGGTTACGTAGAATAGAAAGTATTATTAGAGTTTATGAGCACTAGGGATTTTCAATAAACAACTTCATTTCAACCAACAACTTTTGGAATGTACTGCCCATAGTGGTACCACTATTCAATACAATGAGTATTGGATGGTGAGTGCTCAGGTTACCAATTGTTAATTTAATCCAAGCTACTTTGGTGATCTGAAGTCAGGTAATACAGCTTCCGCTTACAAAAGTTAATTAATGAGTTAAAAAAATACCTTCTTCACAGTCTGAATCTATATAGTATGTTTGGTTAATCGGCATTTAAGTATCACTGATCGTACTGCTAAGAACTACTTTTGACTTTATATATACTTTCGCTTTAACATTCCATTCAATGTTATGCATAATATTTTGGAGAAATTTTATTGGTCGAATCAAAATTGAAATCTAGATGCTAGCTGGCTGTCATAATTCGACAATAAACAGGTAACTTCGAAGATTATGAATATGTTTGCCGTCGATATAAAAATCACTCCCTCAAAATTTGTGGTATAACTTCAGAAATTTCAGAGTAAGTTAAATTCCACCAACGCAGATCTCTTCTAACTGAGATCGGATACTTTAAAATCAAATAGTTTAACAGGCTTTCGGTGTCTTGGTATCCGACCAACTATAAATGGATGAATTTAATACTCAGAGACAGGTGTCGCCAAAGTACTGGTCAAGTGTAGTGCAATCCCATAGTGAGGAATGTTGAGTCTTGAATGTATGATTACTAGGTAAGAACGGAAAACCAATCCACGAGGTTTTTAGTATGGGATGGCCCGGACATATGTTGCTCAAGCCAAGATAATATCTAAGGCAGCAGCCTCTGAAGTGGAAAAAAGCATGTTGACCAAATTCTGTTGGTGATTTTCTTGCTGTGATTATCAAGCTTGAAAAACAACAATCATGGGGAAATTTGATATTAGACAGTGGCAAGTAAGATGATTTGTACTCGTGTTTCATGGGTGCTAACACTTGCCAGTATCAGTTTCTTTGACGTTACATATACACCTTACTAACAAGTGCCAACAATCTTTAAGCCAATATCGAGATATTGCTCCCAATGCCTTTCAACCAACCAGCATCAATTAAAGCGTATCGCCACGCTGCGTAGCCTAGCTTGTTGATCACATCGCGAAAAGAATAGATCGAATTCAGTTGGCGCTAGTGGTTGGACAACATGAAATCAGCTAATAGTCAGTAATTAATCAGGGAAACCTTCAAGTAAAGTTAGTTTGATTTGAGAATAATTTTATCTATAAGCGTAATTATATAAAGGGACCAGATGATGATTAATGATTTTATTACTCAAGATAGAATTTCCTCTCTGATAATTATCCCAGTTAAAATATCCTGTATTATTTAGTACGATACAATCACTCAACATCTCCGTACGCCTGCAAGTGAAGGCCGAATACTGCATGAGGCAACTGTCACTTTATTGTTCCCCAGATGTCAAGGGTTCTAGGTACTCGATGATGCCCAATCACCTTTCGCTTTGATACTCCCATACAGTGTCGCTTACTATCCTGTCATTGGTTCCTGTACAAAATCCAGTCACAGAACTAAGTTTCTGGATTTAAAACTATATGATACAGTTTAAAGTATCCTAGGGGATATACGTTTCTTCACATTTGTAAATGCAGTTTGTTAATGAATGCCAAAGAAATAAAAGTCGAGGTCAAACCTGCCTGCCGGCAGACTTATGCTTTATGACATCTGTCAATGAGCAAAATGCACCATAGTGTTGTATTATATTGTACACTGATATGAGAAACTTCAATCGTCTACATCAGTTATCGTCTGGTGACGAATTTAAGATAATCAGGAAGCTTAGGTGAGTATGCTTGATAAGCTCAAACTGATGATACTAATTGTGCTACTTATTTTCTCTTATCAAACTATTTGGCGTTTATTAGGTTGCATGGTTTAACGGCAAACCTTTTATTATTCAATCACAGGAAGTCAACCAAGTGAAGTTTGAACCTCTTTGAGCGTAGCAGAAGTGTCGGAATCTCAGGAGGGACATCAATTCCATAGAGGTTGCAGATACGCCCTCCTGATGAGTACCAAAAAGCCCGAAACCCAGGTTCAGGGCTTCCTGCCGATTGTTTTCATCTAACATGTATCAAAGAATTGTTTTCCCTACAATGTCAGTGAAATATCCGTCATTAAACCATTCTGACAAGTAAACAAAAGCCACAAGGACTATTCTCCGAAGTAAAATATCTCTGCAACTATATTGTTTTCAACTTAAGGAGTGACTTCAATACTCTCACAGTGTCTTTTGTGAAGGATAAGGCCACCGACCTAGCAAGGGACGTCCCTACGTGAGCTGAAAAATGATGCAATTCTTACAAAGCAGAGTTATTTCGGGCAATGAATTTGCTCTCCTGAGCAATCACACACAAAACAACGCATCTGTTTGGTTCGTCTTAAATGACGACATTCGGCGGTGTAAATTACCTTGATAAATCGTAGGTTTAATCCAAATGGTCAGAACTTATTCGTATAGTTTGACTGAAACTCCTAGAGTGAATCCAAAGTTAATTAAGCCCTTATATAATTAGTGCAACCTGACCTGGTTAACTAGTTCACTTGTTACTAGCCAGTCCTAAGCCCGAACAAAGAGGGGAGGTTGGGCGTAGACCTAGCAACCCTACCCCGGAAAACCAATCCAATCGCTAAAGAAACTTCAAAGCACAAAGAAATCACAAAAAATAAAAACAAACTTATTCCTCGCTGGAATCGGAGAGACGAAATGACGCCGGTTGGTGAAAGCCTTCGGAAGACAGTTGGCCGATTATCTTCTCTCCCTCGATGAAAGTGAAAGCAAGAATGGGGACATGGAATGTCTGATTCATGTATGAACCCAGCAAGGCTGCCCAGATTGCAAAAGAGATGAGGAAGTATGGCGAGGATGTGTCTGGAATCTGCGAGGAATCAGCGAATGGAATGGAAGTGGACATTCAACTGTTAACTGAGAGTCAATAATCTATTCCGATATTGTCACCCACAGCACACGACAAACACGAGCACACTGAGTTTCCGAGTGGCTATCATGATTTCTCCAAGAAAATCGAAGGCTCTCATGCAGTAGAACCAATCTCTTCCACAATCGGGATCATGACAGCAAGATTCAACTCAAACTGAAGAAAAGTCACAACCATACAATGCTACGCTAAGCACCAACAAATAATGCAGATGAAGAGAAGAAGGGGAATTCTACAGACAACTACAATCAGTACTGCACAAGACCTCACTCCAGTTGGTGATATCAAAATTAATTCTGATGGGTGACATGAATGCCAAACTGGGAGCGGACAACACAGGAAGAGAACTCATCATGGGTCGAGAAGTACTCGGTGAAATGATGAATGAGAATGGAGAACTGTTTGCAGACTTCTGCACACTCAACGATTTCGTGATTGGAGGCAGCGTGTGCAAGCACAAGGATATCTACAAAGTGACATGGATTCGATTTCACCAGACACTGGGGAACACTACACTGAAAATCAGACCGACTTCATCTCAATGTGAAGAAAGTGGAGACGCAGTCGACTGGACATAAGATCAAGAAGGGGAACAGATGTAGGTGGTTCACACCACTCACTATCAAGTCCAAGGAACCTAACTTCAAAATCAAGTTGAAAGCCTTCACAGAGGTTGGTGATAGACCACAGTTGAAGTTCATAACCCTGAAGAGAAACCGAATTGAAGGAAGAAACCAAAAACGACATCTTCACGTCAGTCAGTCAGTCATCAGGACAAAGTTGGAGAGATTGGTGGAGATCCCTGAAGAAACCTGAGCGGAAGAACACCGGAATTCTTTGAGAGCTATGTGGAAAGAAACCTGCATAACCGTATTAGGAAGTAAGAAGAAGCAGCAAGACATGGACTGGAATGGATCTCGACGAGCATCTGGAAGCTGATGGAGGAGGGAGGAGAAGATGGTGAAGCAGAAGATGAACCAGTACAGTAAAGTGCAGTGCAGGGATGAACGACAAAAAGCGGAACTGAATACAACCTGTAAAACACTACACTGGACAAAGAAGTGAAGAAGAGCTCACGGAAAGACAAAAGGCACTTCCACGATCCACTGGCAAGTGGAGCAGAGCAGGCTGTTGGTAGGAGAGACCTGACAACATTATGTCAAGTAACCAGGTGACCATCCGGGAAGAGATCAACGCAGACGAAACCGATGAAAGACAGTGAAGGAAACCCAGTTAGCAAAGAGGAGAATCAAAGGAAACGATGGGCTGACCACCTCAAAAAACTCTTGAATCAACCACCACCACCACCACCACCACCACCACCAGAAACGCTACCTACCAATTGATTGGACTAACGGCTACCTTGTCAAACTCTCAGAGAACGGCGAATGACCTAAATCTTTGCAAGTACTCGTGCAAAACCGTGCTCCTGTCCACCACAAGCAAAATATTATGCCGCATCATTCTGGAGAGACTTAACAATGCTCTGCATTCAAAATTACGACCGGAGCAGACTTGCTGGTTGGGTGGCTTCAGGAAGAACAAATCATGTCCAGATCAAATTGCAACGCTGCACTGCACTGCACTGCACTGCACTGCACTGCACATTATCATAGAACAGAGCATAGAATGGCAGTCAACTGCACCTGTACCTCAACTTCATCGACTTTGAAAAAGCCTTCGACAGCGTCGACCGTCAGGTGATTCGGCAGGCAGCTGCTTCAACACTACGGTTTTAGTGCCACAAACCTTTATCAACATCATTCAACTGCAACTACGTGCGAAATGATGCTACATACGAAGTGATCCACAATAGGAAGCTCAGTGACGCCTTCGAAGTGAAGACAGGAGTGAGACAAGGCTGCCGCCTACTATCACCAATGATCTTCATGATTGTGGTCGACTGAACTGGATCATGTAAGAAACTGTGATGAGTGAGAAGAGGGGCATATGCTGGGTGAACCGGTAAAAAGATTCCAGAAGAAGATTTGGATTTCGCCAATGATGATTTATGTCTAATGTCACACAAGCTGGAGGATGTACAGGTGAAAACTAACAAGTTGACGGAAGAGGCGAGGCAGCGAAGACCGGACTTCAAGTGAATGCAGAGAAGACAGAGATGATGAGGATACCCAACCACCACCAACAACAACAACGATAAGCAGCAATCACCATTAATGGGAGAAATCCAGAGGAAGTAGTCTCTCTCACTCACCTTCCCAGGCTGCATCGTTTCAACTACAGGCGGCGGCACAGATGAGGATGTCAAAGCAAGGATCGGGGAAGCGAGATGGGCCTTCATTAACCTGAAACCAGTATGGAGATCTACTGCACTCAGCATAAAACATGAACGAGATCCAGATTTTCAACACCAATATCAAGTCAGTGCTTCTATATGGTTGAGAAACTTGGTGCGTTACGAAAAGCATTTCCTACAAACTACAGACATTCATCAATATCTGCCAACTAGACTCACTCGATACTGAAGATTAGATGGCCAGAATAATAAGGATAACCAACAAGCAATTCTTGAAACAAACCAACCAGGAATTCATCACCCAACAAATATGCAGTAGAAGAAGGTGGAGATGGGTGGACATACACTGAGAAGGCCAAGTGGGGACATCACGTGCCAGGCCAGGCAGTCGAGTGGAATCCAAAAGGGGAAACATTGAGTTGGGCGTCCGAGGGGAAGGTGACATGGAGGAGATCGTGTGAGGAGGAAATGAAAGCTTGTGGGTAGTCGTTGAGCCACGTTTAAAAGACTGCGGAGGACAGAGTGCAATGGAGGTGTGCTACTTAAGCCCTATTTTCCACTGGAACCCAGAGGAAAAGTAAATAATAAATAAATATATGTTTTGTGTAAATCATCAGTCCAGGTTGCATGCTTTAGTGTAGTAATTTCTTGATATTTTCACTTAATGTACAGTTAACTTTGATGCTGAGCGGTAGTTCCACATACATATCACAAAAATTCTATCTAACACACTCGAGTAAAGTAGATAAATGTTATCATCACTGGAAACTTAATTTTTCAATCTTGTGAAATGACGCGTTTTGACTTTATATATTTGGCTTACTGATCAGTAGTATAAAACATAATGATGCTGAACTTGACAAAAGCTTACTTTAAACTTACACTAACCATGATTCTGTATGATACCAATCAAATTTTGTAGAACTAAATTTGATACCTAGTCTGTCATTGATATCAGCTCGATGATATTCAGTGTCAACTGGAAGAAATCGATGTCGGTTTCGAGGACTGTTGTGTTCATTTGATAAATTATCTGTTGACAACAACTGGTCGTGTAAAGTATGTCGACGATGATCTTTCACTTTCACATCTAAATTTTTATTCATGTTGTACTGTCTGTGTTAATTTTTCCAGAGATAAATTTATTCCGGCTGTCCTGTAGCTATAACACTTAGGTGTATTCTGTAAGAGAAATGAAAACATTTCACTACTTTACTATTCCAAAAATCCTTACATACCAGAGGAAATATAATACTAGGAAGACTGAGTTTTTCTCGAACTGTTTAATGTTGAGATGCCATGAGAATTGGCATCAATGTGAATTATGGATCAGATTAAAGCAGATTTTCAGAGTTCTTTCGGTGTTAGTTGTTAGCAGTCAGTTAACAGTCAGAAAGTGGAGCACACAATTTGCACACTCCTTGACACACCTGGAGTCCTGAATAGATCCCTATTTCGTTCAGAGGATACGGTAGATTAACAGTGGATAACCTTTCATAACACCAACTGAAAATGACTCTCCAGATAGTCTTATAAAAACCCACATGACGAAAAAACATCAAAATGATGCATCTCAACTAAGAATAAGATACCGCTTTACATGAAAATACAATTCAGAGGGAAAGAACTATGGGAGATACTAATTTAAAAGCTCCAGAGATCTATCTGAAGAACTTTTAATTCATGAAAACAGAGACTTGCATTTTCAACACACCCAGTTGTGCTAACAAGAATAAAAGATCAAGTGACTAGGCTAGTTACTACTTGCAGCGTTTATCAAATCAACATGTGCTTTGAAGCCAGTTATGTTGGACGATGCTTCACCTCTGTTGGCAGATACGCAGGGATCAAGCATTTTGCCCCGTATAGCAAAGGGAAATTACAAGTATTATTACAATCTTATTTATATGTAAGGTGAGGTTGACAGTTACAAATTATGAGGTAGTTTTCATCATGGACTGGCATCATTTACGGAACCATTAAAAACTGGAAGCACTGGACAGCTATTTCATCCCAGCATGAGACTCCCCAGCAGTACACATTGTATTGCGAATTGACAGAAGTTAAAAACAGTGAACCATTTAACTCCGACCCAGTGGGTGAATGGTTAACACGTTCACTGTGGAACTTCAAGGTCCTGAATTAGTTCCCTAGCCGTGTCATGAGTGCGTACTACTTAAGAGTCCCATAATAGGACGAAACAGCTATCCAATGCTCCCAGATTCTCAGTGTTTTCCCAACTGATGTCAGTCCGTGATGAATATAGCCTCAAAATTAAAATCCCCGTTCACCTCAAAAATAAAAAAATTGTTTGTCTGTGTGTTTCATTTCTACAATAAGTGGAATCGTAAAGTGCAATAATATGACTAAAGGTGATATTTCATGAATCATCAAATTAATTGGAAAGCTACTGGAGACTAAAGGTTAAAGACACAAGTTAGGAGAGGCCAACGAGTGAATGAATTTGGCGTAACTTAATTTGAAAGTAGTCGAATGGAATTTATTAGGTGAAACAAGAAATGTGAATATTCATCAGACAAAATGTGTTATGATACTATCTAAGAGTTACTTATTTTAGTGGCCCCTTGGTCCATCCTGATGGTAAAGTAATGTAACCTTAAACTTCTAATTCCATACTTATCTGCTGTTGTGAAGCTACGCACATGGGACGTTCATGGATAAGCATCGCCCGTCTCGTTTGAGAGTCTCTCCCAGTATGACTCAATAAATGGAAACGCAGAGGAGTAAATTAAAAAAGCTTCCAACATATAACTGACTACAACCATCCAGATTTCAAATCATCGTTTAATATTATTTACAAGATCAAATCAAACTGATCGAAACGTGCATGTACACACCTACTTTGTATTGCAGAAGCCTTGGCAATGTATAATCTTAAACTAAAACTTTGTGTAAAGAAACTGTTTGTACGGTTCCTTTCACTACCCTGGACCTAGGTTACCCTTTCATCAATAACAATTTCACGTCTCTCGATCCCCATCATATCACATTTTCTCTGACTCACATTCATATTTCTTGTTTCACCTAATAATCTTCAACTACTTCTAAATGAAAATCACACTATGTTCATTCACTCATTCGTCTCTTCTATCTTGTGTCTTTGACATTTGGTCCACTATAATTTTCGAATTGATATGATGATTCATGAAGTATCATCTTTAGTCATATTATTGAACTTTACGATCCCACTTATTGTAAAAATGAAACAAACAGATAAACAAATTTGTGGTTGTCAACCTCAACTTATACATAAATACAATTGTAGAACTTTTGGAGACGGAATCGTTGCAAGGAGAAATTTTCTTTACTGAAATTGTTTTATGTGTTGATAAGGGTTGTTAATTTGTTCCGATAACATTATAGATATCTGCAAGAGGAATTCGAGAAGTCTGACCAATCAACCATCTTTGCCGAATAAATCATCATTATCGGAGCCAATCAATCAACAAGAACGACAATTTATCCTCCAGTTGTCAAAGATCAAGCCAGAAGAAATGCATATCTTGACAGTGAGAATGGGCCTTCTAAAAGAAATTCGATCAGTCATAATAACAAATCAATTTTGCACTTATACACAAAAATACGTTACAAAGAAGATAATTATTGTGTCCGCGAATCAATTCCCCATCTGTACATTCGCAAATATAATGAGCAAAATCGTAGGATATTTCACACAAGTTGTCAGTCAAAGGTCAAACCTAATAGATCGGTGTATATATTAGGGAATGAAAGGATATTACATAACACAAGATATTTTCTCAATAGTTTTATAAAATTCAGTGAACAGTAAGATTTGGTATCTGGTAAAAATAAATAAATAAACATTCAGTAAATTGTATAAACAAATGAATAAACAAACACTAGGTGGTGACTCAAGATGAAATGAAAATTTGGATCACAGTAGTTTTGAACCAGCGACCACTGAGTTTCCAGGCCAGTGTTTTACAAACTGAGCGGCAGTTCAAAATTTCCTTTCCCCTTCAATCATCCCCTATCAAACCACAGCTTTCTGAGATAGTCAAAATGATAATCAATATGACGCTCCCCCTCTCTAATTCAGCTAGATTTGAAATGAAATGAGTAGTCCTGACTAGGCAGCCAGTGTAAGTACAATCAAGCGGTTGTAACGTGTCACAAATTCTCATGGTAGTCGGTCAAAACCCCTTCGTGAATGAAGTAAAATAAAATTCTAATCATCACTCCGGCCTCGTAGCTCAGTTGGTAGAGCACCAAGCAAAACCTGGTGGTCGCTGTCTTGAATCCCACCATGGACCAAATTTCCCCTTCACCTTCAATCACCACACAGTGTCAGCACTACTTTGCCAAACCTTGGCTATCTTAAATCAATAACCTGATAACAAATAAATAGAATACGAAAATAAAATACCAACGGAAATGCACAGCCTACTTGGTTATGGCTAGTGGAGGGATCCAGGACCCGCGTTCCGTCCTATTTGGGACTCGTCAGCTGGACGTACCTGCACCCCAGTGAGTGTTGTTCTGACAGATACTCGAATCTCGTACCTATCGCTTCAAAAGCCGAGGCGTTATTCACTATGCCACTGAGGCACAACACCTCCCTCTCTTACAACGGATGTTAGTTGTTACTATTTATTGATATGCCTGTAATTCTCAGTTGTTTCACTGGATTGAATAGTTCGACCAAGCTATATCGAAGCACCTGCATAGGAACCCATATGCCAGTAGAGGCCGAACAATTCGACCCAGAAAAACAACGGAGAATCGCAAGCACATGAATAAATAGTAAGAAGTGTAGAATACCTGATTAGTGTCATGGTAAAGAAAGTGTTTGTATATGTTCCTTTTAAATACACAACTGAGGTTTGAAGCTGTGAAATGTCAATCCATATAAGCCTTTAACACCTTTTCAACGGTTTGATCAAACTTTATAGGGGTTTCCAGAAAAGCTAGATGTCCAAAGTTCACGAAATGTTTAAAAATGGAGTTAGGGATGGTTTTATTCTCACCCTTCAGCAACCTGGCTGAGCAGTTATCTTTGTTTTAACTTCCTTTTGCTTTCCAATGACCAAATAAAGATTTTTCGTGAAACGAAAATCCTCAACATCGTGTATGAAATGTTTTTTTAAGTTTAATGACGAAAGTTTTGAAAATGAATGAACAAGATTATTGGTCTTATTGGCGTCTTTCATCCTACAATTTAGCTAGATTTCTATGTTTGGCTATTCTAACTGACCCCAACCGGCTAGTTTGACCTATGTACTTGACCTCATAATCAATCCATGGAACTATTTTGCCCAACTGGTTCTATGGGATCCTTAAGCCAGCCGACAAAGTTTATCTCTGAATGAGTTTGTAGGTTCAAATGCCACCCTAATTCCAGCTCTGTTGAGGGTCTTACTTATAGCTTCTGATGTACCTGCCTTATAGGGTAACACAATGGAGCCTGTGAACACCTTTCTCCTGGTGTTGTCGTTATTATTCGTACTCGTATGTTTTCGTTACTTGCATGTTCGTACAAACTTTTTACTAAACTGTGGATGATAGTCATTAACCAATAGCGCTTCTTTTACACGCTTCAATTCCTTGTTTAGGTCGTTGCGCTGACTAGTCAGTTTTTTTAGCTCTATCACTTAGACTTTTGACTAAGCCTACCTTAACTGATATTGGACGAGATGACTTGAAGCCCAGATATCTGTTAGAATGTGCCGGTTTTCTGTATACGGTAGTATCCACCGTTTGTCCTTCGTTTTATCCTACAGTCCAACACAGGTAATTCTACATGTTCATTTACTACCTCGTAAGTGAATTGGATTGCGTCTGATACTGAGTTTATATGCGTAAGAAAGTTGTCGATATATTCCAATTTCAGCACAGTAAATGTATCATTCACATATCGCCACCGTTTTTTGGTGCGCGAGTAAACGTTTGTAAAGCCATGTTTTCCCAACTATCCATAAATATATCTGCTACGATCAAGGATATTGGCGATCCCATTGCTACTCCTTCTGTTTGTCTGTATATTTTGTCCTGGAACTTGGACATTGTGGAGGTCAGGAACAACTGTACGCCTAATATGATCTCATCAACCGATATCTTATTTCTGTAAGTTCTAAATCAATATTCAGTTGACTTTGACTGCCTTCAGTGTCATATTGATTGGCATTTTAGTATAAAGACTTGTTACGTCAAAACTAAACATTTTTTTCATCCACTTCTAAATGTAGGTCATTAAGCTTTAGTTTTAAATCGTAAGAGTTTACTAGCCTGGAATTCAAGCAATTCCTAATCGGACATAATTTCGATGCCAAGTACTTTCTTAGTTCATATGTTGGGGTATTTCTGACGTCAGCTACGGGTCTAATGGGATAACCTAGTTTGTACACCTTAATAGTGTCATAAATTCTGCTGGGATTATTAGTTTTAGGCATTAAATTAAAATGGAAATTTCACACTGCTGAATAGTGTTTTCACTGAGTAGTGATCTATGGCGCAAACAGGAGTCTTGTTGAAAGGCATCCTGTTAGTATAAAAGATTGAAGTATATGTGAGACAAAACTATCATACACTGACGAACTATGCTGATTTGTAGATTTCGCCGGCTGCGTCAAAGTGATCAAAATAGAAGACGGCGTATTCGCTTCCCAGTGAATGTTTTCTCATTCATGCTGAGAGCCATATAAACTCAATTTTAAGGAAATGGCTTTCTCTACCCAGCTAATCAGACTCAATTAGCATAAAACTGTCAACTATGCCAACGGAATTCGTTGGGACACACCAATGATGAGATGAATGACTCGTGACAGATAGAAAGATAACCGTGATTTGCATAGTGAAATTTACTCGTCAGTTTAGTAAGTTTCAAGTTAACCAATAGTTAATTAATAGTTAGCTTTTCTACTTATTCATTCAGTTTCGTGAAAATACTAACACCAAACAAAATAACTGACAATACATTAGAAACAGTTATGACTTACGTCAGGTAAATTTTTGTACAGCATCAACAGATGCTTCTTATGTGCTGAATTTCTACACATATGAGACTATTTATCGAAGATTGTCCCCGGGGCTTTTTATGTTTCATAAATATCAGTAACCGATCAAAGTACAGACAATATGGACTTTATCATTAGTTTATATGATAAGCAGATATTGAATATTTGTTGAGTTTCTGCATTCAAGAACAAATGTCAAGTGGACTATCTATTCTAAAGTGGTTACTAATACATACCGACATAAGCTAGAGAACCACTGAAAACCGTAGAGCGTTGGGCAGCGGGTTTATTTCTTGTGAAAACTATAACATAGGGTGTGTATTTACTCACAGGCGGCTACTTCGAATAACATCGTAAATTAGGTTCTTTTACACCCTAATATCCGAGGCTAAGAAACACTTTGAAATAACAGATGGCCTGTAGTTCACTTTATTCGCACGCTAGTTGAAAAGTTAGTGTCACAGAAACAACTGTGGAACTTATCTAGAACAATTTCCATTACTTCCCTTTATAGATAAAAGATAAGGTATAATGAAAGTGAGGAGTTGAAGTCCAGTGTATTTAGCCATGACCTGTGCTTTAAAAGAGAAATCGTGCACAATCCGTTTCGTAAAACTGAAAAAATTAAACATCAACTGGTGATACTAACAGCAGAAACTGGCTGGCGACGGAGCTCTAAACGTGTGTTTCATTCTACTTGGAACTTCTTATTCAGGTCAACTTGTTTCTTAAAGGTGTTGTTTCTACCGAAACTTGTAGCTCTGTGAGCTGAATTTGTCCAGGCAAACTACCAATGACCTCGGTCCCGAAAGAGTGAAACTAACGTCCGGTTTTAAGATGACTCTGATCTGGCTGGCGAAATACTCAAGAACACCCTGAGTGGTATCTAACTACTCAAGCTGTTCAATAGTAGTATCATTTTAGCCATCATCATTTACTTTTAACTCTATAGTGTAATTCACTAAGAAACTGTTACAGTTTTGTAGTTTCCTGTTGGTAACTAGTTTAGTCGGAAGTGATTATCACTGTGACTTATTCACTATACTGTAGATACCTTGACAATGCCTATTCTCATGAAAAACCGCAAGGTAGAGCATTAAATCAACGATACTGTTTACATTAGTTTTTATGGACTCCTTGTTACGTTTGCCAAATTTTCAAGGCTTCATTTTATCACCAACTTGGTTATGACTGGTTTGAGTAGCCAAAAAGCATCTTTTTACACACATTACATTTCACGTGAATCGGTCTAATGTATTTGGTACTGACCTATATCTATTAATCATGCTTTCACCGTCTCCAAGATGCTGACTGATGCAGCGCTATAGTGCACTTTATGTTGCTGTTGAATGTTAGCAGTTAGCTGACTGTTTACTACAGTGTGTAATAGCAGCCTAGAGGTTAAACTGAACGCTGAAATGATAGACGTCGATCAATGTTGATCGCTTACAACTTCTAATTATTATTTATCCCTAGGGTTCCTAGTGGAAAATAGGGCTTAAGTAGCACACCTCCATTGCACTCTGTCCTCCGCAGTCTTTTAAACGTGGCTCAACGACTACCCACAAGCTTTCATTTCCTCCTCACACGATCTCCTCCATGTCACCTTCCCCTCGGACGCCCAACTCAATGTTTCCCCTTTTGGATTCCACTCGACTGCCTGGCCTGGCACGTGATGTCCCCACTTGGCCTTCTCAGTGTATGTCCAACCCATCTCCACCTTCTTCTACTGCATATTTGTTGGGTGATGAATTCCTGGTTGGTTTGTTTCAAGAATTGCTTGTTGGTTATCCTTATTATTCTGGCCATCTAATCTTCAGTATCGAGTGAGTCTAGTTGGCAGATATTGATGAATGTCTGTAGTTTGTAGGAAATGCTTTTCGTAACGCACCAAGTTTCTCAACCATATAGAAGCACTGACTTGATATTGGTGTTGAAAATCTGGATCTCGTTCATGTTTTATGCTGAGTGCAGTAGATCTCCATACTGGTTTCAGGTTAATGAAGGCCCATCTCGCTTCCCCGATCCTTGCTTTGACATCCTCATCTGTGCCGCCGCCTGTAGTTGAAACGATGCAGCCTGGGAAGGTGAGTGAGAGAGACTACTTCCTCTGGATTTCTCCCATTAATGGTGATTGCTGCTTATCGTTGTTGTTGTTGGTGGTGGTTGGGTATCCTCATCATCTCTGTCTTCTCTGCATTCACTTGAAGTCCGGTCTTCGCTGCCTCGCCTCTTCCGTCAACTTGTTAGTTTTCACCTGTACATCCTCCAGCTTGTGTGACATTAGACATAAATCATCATTGGCGAAATCCAAATCTTCTTCTGGAATCTTTTTACCGGTTCACCCAGCATATGCCCCTCTTCTCACTCATCACAGTTTCTTACATGATCCAGTTCAGTCGACCACAATCATGAAGATCATTGGTGATAGTAGGCGGCAGCCTTGTCTCACTCCTGTCTTCACTTCGAAGGCGTCACTGAGCTTCCTATTGTGGATCACTTCGTATGTAGCATCATTTCGCACGTAGTTGCAGTTGAATGATGTTGATAAAGGTTTGTGGCACTAAAACCGTAGTGTTGAAGCAGCTGCCTGCCGAATCACCTGACGGTCGACGCTGTCGAAGGCTTTTTCAAAGTCGATGAAGTTGAGGTACAGGTGCAGTTGACTGCCATTCTATGCTCTGTTCTATGATAATGTGCAGTGCAGTGCAGTGCAGTGCAGTGCAGTGCAGCGTTGCAATTTGATCTGGACATGATTTGTTCTTCCTGAAGCCACCCAACCAGCAAGTCTGCTCCGGTCGTAATTTTGAATGCAGAGCATTGTTAAGTCTCTCCAGAATGATGCGGCATAATATTTTGCTTGTGGTGGACAGGAGCACGGTTTTGCACGAGTACTTGCAAAGATTTAGGTCATTCGCCGTTCTCTGAGAGTTTGACAAGGTAGCCGTTAGTCCAATCAATTGGTAGGTAGCGTTTCTGGTGGTGGTGGTGGTGGTGGTGGTTGATTCAAGAGTTTTTTGAGGTGGTCAGCCCATCGTTTCCTTTGATTCTCCTCTTTGCTAACTGGGTTTCCTTCACTGTCTTTCATCGGTTTCGTCTGCGTTGATCTCTTCCCGGATGGTCACCTGGTTACTTGACATAATGTTGTCAGGTCTCTCCTACCAACAGCCTGCTCTGCTCCACTTGCCAGTGGATCGTGGAAGTGCCTTTTGTCTTTCCGTGAGCTCTTCTTCACTTCTTTGTCCAGTGTAGTGTTTTACAGGTTGTATTCAGTTCCGCTTTTTGTCGTTCATCCCTGCACTGCACTTTACTGTACTGGTTCATCTTCTGCTTCACCATCTTCTCCTCCCTCCTCCATCAGCTTCCAGATGCTCGTCGAGATCCATTCCAGTCCATGTCTTGCTGCTTCTTCTTACTTCCTAATACGGTTATGCAGGTTTCTTTCCACATAGCTCTCAAAGAATTCCGGTGTTCTTCCGCTCAGGTTTCTTCAGGGATCTCCACCAATCTCTCCAACTTTGTCCTGATGACTGACTGACTGACGTGAAGATGTCGTTTTTGGTTTCTTCCTTCAATTCGGTTCTCTTCAGGGTTATGAACTTCAACTGTGGTCTATCACCAACCTCTGTGAAGGCTTTCAACTTGATTTTGAAGTTAGGTTCCTTGGACTTGATAGTGAGTGGTGTGAACCACCTACATCTGTTCCCCTTCTTGATCTTATGTCCAGTCGACTGCGTCTCCACTTTCTTCACATTGAGATGAAGTCGGTCTGATTTTCAGTGTAGTGTTCCCCAGTGTCTGGTGAAATCGAATCCATGTCACTTTGTAGATATCCTTGTGCTTGCACACGCTGCCTCCAATCACGAAATCGTTGAGTGTGCAGAAGTCTGCAAACAGTTCTCCATTCTCATTCATCATTTCACCGAGTACTTCTCGACCCATGATGAGTTCTCTTCCTGTGTTGTCCGCTCCCAGTTTGGCATTCATGTCACCCATCAGAATTAATTTTGATATCACCAACTGGAGTGAGGTCTTGTGCAGTACTGATTGTAGTTGTCTGTAGAATTCCCTCTTCTTCTCTTCATCTGCATTATTTGTTGGTGCTTAGCGTAGCATTGTATGGTTGTGACTTTTCTTCAGTTTGAGTTGAATCTTGCTGTCATGATCCCGATTGTGGAAGAGATTGGTTCTACTGCACGACAGAGCCTTTGATGCTCTTGGTGTTATCATGACAGTCACTCCAAATCTCGGCGTGCTCGTGGTTGTCGTTTCGACGAGAATATCGTAATAGATTATTGTCTCTTCAGTTGACAACTCACTTCACAGTTAAATGGTTAAATTCTACAGGACACTTGAAGTAACCTTGTTTGCTTCTTCTGACTTGTTTTTCAGTTCATGATTGAGTTGCGCTGATTTCACTCTGAGGGAAATACAAAGATCCTGCAAATGTGCAGACCAGCCTAACTGTGGAGGGCGAACGGTCACGAAACCTTTTGCAGGACTTCTTGCCGATTCACTCAAAATTCTGCACAGCGTAAAATCTTGGGCAGTTTAGTGTAAATTTAGTTATTCTTGATCGACATTCATGCCTCATAAAAATTGTTTCATACCTCTATTTTTTGAATTACTTCGTAGCATTACTTATGGTTACCATTCTGATTTACTTGAATGAATGCGATTCGGGTTTCACAAATCAGCTGCATATTTCCAATTACTTGGCATTAATCTTATGACTGTGTCTCATGGTAGCAAAATTTCAGCTCCCACGTGTACGTGGTGACTGTAAAGCAAAAATGTAATACTTACTCATGACTGCACAGATTTCACGATTGTGTTGTCGAGTAATTCCCTTCAGTTCAGAGAGAAACAAAATGTTGATAAATAATCACACTACTATTAATTAACAAGTGGACTAATAATATTGACGAGAAAAAAACGTGGGCACTACGGTACAGTATAATTCCATATTAGATTTGCTTATTGGATATCAGCAATTGGTGATACGGAATTAGTTACCGGATGCCCCTTAGACAAGAATTTATTGCCCATGATCA